GCAACAGCTCATACCTTGCACAGCGTGGGCGCCGTATGGGAGGGGAAACTTGGAGGGGCACGGCACCAGGGACACCAGGAAACGTCATGATGTGGCTGATGCACGGGGATGGCGGGAACCGACGGCACCGCTGCGGCAGAGGCGTGTGGCTGCGCAATTGGCTAACGCAGAGCGCCGGGGCCGACATTCCGACTCCTTACCAAAGATCTTTTTGATCGTATCCGTATTACCTGATACACTCCCACTCAAGTCACCTTACCTAAGCTGATACAGAGGTAGACGACCGTAGGTACTTCCTCACCTTACGTAAGTATCATAGTGCCCACGCCGTATTACCTAAGCAGTGCTAGGGCATGGGAGGCGTGGGAGGTCTCCATCTTTCTCTCTCTCTCCCCCACCTCTTTTCCCCCAACGACCCAACCTTATTCCCCAGCGGATGCGGGTACACACCCGGACACCATTGCCACGATCGCCAAGCTGTCACCTCGGTCGAATTTGAATTCGTTTGACAGCTTCGCATTCGCGATGACGGCCAAACTTACACTTGTCGCAACCTCTGACGTATCGGCCCTGCTGTCGTCATGCTAGAGGATATGCGCAGAAGATGATTATCTGTCAGTCTGATCCGAACCAAGCCAAACGAAAAAGGAAACGGGGGTATACGAGTGACTAAATAAGCTGTCAATTGTCCGGACCTCGACGGACTTGGCCTTTTCGGCGAAAGAGATGCCCACCCACCAGTACCGTTGGATTGATTAGTCGGGAATCAACACTCGGTGATCGGACCCCGAACCACCATGGCTATTCCTGTTCCCGTCCTCGCCATGTCATTTCGTTGCAATATTGCGACAGTCGAGAAGCTTCCAGCACGAAGCTTATTAGACGACATGCTCGGTTTTTATGACATGTCGTTGCGTTTCCAGTTCGCACCGCCGGTTAATTAATCAGGCTGGTATCACCAGGGCGAGATGCGGAAATATGGTTGACTGGTCTCGGACCGGACCTCGCCAAGAGTGGGAATCCCGGACGTCTCCCAACCTGTCCGTCGACGTGGGAACTAGAAACGCGAACACAGGCACAGAGGGCAACCTGACACCGAGTCCCGTCTTACCAACGACCGAGCTATTGACACGAAAATAAGAAAGGGCTGACAATCAGCCACCAGAGAGTGATCCCGACGCCCTCCAACTCCGAATCACGCGCGTCAAATCCCCAACTACAAGCAAACTTTGGGAGGAAACAGAGCAGAGACGCCCCTGCCCTGCCTCGTCTCATCCTTTGTTTGTTCTCGCTGCCGGAATCTGATCTTCGGCACTCGCTGCAGCTGCTTGACCAAGCCGCTGGGTCTGATAGCGTTGCTTGTCGTCCTTTTGATTTTGCATTTTGCAGAAAGAAAAAAGTTTGATCAAGCTTGCGAGGCATAACACAGAGACGAACCTCTATTGCGGTAAAGCTCACGAGAATTCGCATCAACCTGACAAGGCGGCCTTTTAGCGTTTCCCGCAGACAGAAATCCGTTGGGACGAGTTATCCACTTCCCGGCGGAGTTGTCATCCACACACACCGAGACGATCCCGCCCCACGATCTTCCTATCCTTTTTCTGAGGGCGGCCCTGTCTGGACTCTCTGTACGACAGACTTCTCCCCCCCGGCTGCCCGGGGGCGGATATTTGACTCGCGCCAACGAGCGTGACCATCGACCAGAAAGGGACAAGCCTTGCTCGATCTTCAATCCCATTCCCCGTATTGTCTGCTCTCTTCGGGGTCAGTAGACTGTCAGCAATCAATCAAGCAAGTGAAGAGAGTCGGCGCCAGTGCCTGCCTGTGTGTCGGAGCTCCGGCCGGTGAGCGACGGACAAAGGAATCCATCGCCCCACATTGGCGTTCTGTTTGCTGCCCTTGCGCAAAAGGTGGGCAAGCGTCTAGGAGAGGGTGAGAGAGTCGAGAACCGTGAGCGAGCGCAAGCGCAAGGTAGAGCTGGCCAACGCTCCCTTCTTCCCTCCTCCTCCTACTTCTCCTCCTGTCTCTGATTAGAGTAAAGAAGTGGCCGACCTTTTATCATTCTCCTCGGCTCCTCGTCTCCTCTCTTCCCTCCTGCTCTCGCGTTTATCTTCGCTCTTCGCCCTCTTCTCAAGCACCCGAATCCTCACTCTTCGGTCCCGAACAACCTAGCTCTTTTCTTTACCTTGCAGCACCGAGACTTCATCAAAGGAACGACTACTACTATACCACTACTCGCATACACATACACGCCTTAAGCGCCAAACAAGCGGCCCTACGTACCTACACAATGCCAAGCGCTACATCGCCGCCGCCGGGTCCTGACCCCACCCTCCACCTCCCGCGTATCCTCTGCCTCCACGGCGGCGGCGTCAACGCCTCCGTCTTCAAGGTCCAGTGCCGCGCCCTCATCTCCCGTCTCAAGAACAGCTTCCGTCTCGTCTTCGTCGACGGACCCTTCATGTGCGCCCCTCACCACGACATCGTCTCCGTCTATGGCGACTATGGTCCCTTCCGCCGCTGGCTCCGTTGGCTTCCTGAGCACCAGGCTGTAGACGCCGAGACGGCGTCCGCCGAGATCCACTTCCAGCTACGCATGGCAATGGACGACGACGACGCCATCGGCGCGACGGGGGAGTGGGTGGGGTTACTGGGATTCAGCCAGGGGGCCAAGATCAGTGCCAGCTTGATGTACACGCAACAACAGCTGAAGAAGAAGTACGGCAAGCGCATCACGTCGGCGGGCGGCTCAGCAGACTGGAAGTTTGGCGTGCTGCTCGCGGGCAGAGCGCCGTTGATTGTACTCGACGACAGGTTAGAAGTGCCGCAGGGTGTTGGCGACGCAGCTGAGGCGAGCGTCGAGTTCCATGACTGGCCGACAGGCCCTGGAACGGACCACGTCTTGAAGCTGCCGACGATTCACGTCCACGGCATGAAGGATGCTGGGTTAGACCATCACCGGGTGTTGCTCAAGCAGTATTGCCAACCGGGTACGACACGATTGGTCGAATGGGACGGTGCTCACCGCGTGCCTATCAAGACATGGGACGTGGAAGCGGTCGCAACACAGATTCTCGATCTCGGAAGGGATCTGGGAATCGTGAGGGAGGAGATTGAGGCATAGACTTTGGCGCGCGCTGCATAGCATTTTGGCGGAATTGTTTGAGTACCCATTTACGTTTTTTCCATTGGATATCTTGATGAAAGCATACATAGATCTTTTGAGAATACCAAAATCTGTAATTTTCCTGTTCAAACATATCGCACCCGCCAGTTCATCATCATGATTAGCGATGTGAACTTTTTGGGCACTCAGTCACGCGTGGTGTATACACCGGTCGACACGGCGTGGTACCCCTTCTTGCCAACCGCATGCGTCAGCTCGCTCCTCCAATCCTCCCCCCTCGCAAGCCTCTCGACAACTTTCTCCATCGTCCACTGAGGCCTCCATCCGAGCTCCCTGACCGCCTTGGAGGAATCGTACACCCGGTCCAACCTGTCGAGGAACCTCCATCCGAGCTTCTCAAACACGGCCGCGCACCCGGGCACAACCTCCGCGACAACGGCGCCCGCGTCCGAGTCCAAGCGGCGTAGGAGCGTCGAGCGGGCGGCCTCGCCGTCGTCGTTCGTGGCAGCAGCAGTAGCAGCAACAAAGGGCGGCGGCGCAGAGATAATATACTTCCCGAATCCGATCTTCCCGGCCTGTTCCATCCCGCACACCACGGCCGAGACGACGTCGGCAATGTCCACCCGCCGGTAGGCTAGCTCACAGACTTTGAGGTTCGCGTCGTCGGGCATGGCGGTGCGGCGGTTCTCGTCGTCGTCTGGTTCCGGGAAGAAGCGGGACGTGCGGAGGACGAGGACCGGTAAGGATGTCTGGCGTTGGACTAAACTGCAGAGGTCCTCTGCCGCGCATTTTGTTACGCCGTAGATGTTTTTGGGCAAGGGCGTGACGGATTCGGTTATCCAGGCTGCGGGTTGGCCTGGTGCTGGGGCTAAGGCGCGGCCAAAGGTTGAGGTTGTCGAGATGAAGAGGAATGATTTGATGCGGTTCTTATGGGCGGCTGCTTCTTCGAGGAGGACGAGAGTGCCGGTCATGTTTGTGTCGATGAAGGCTGATTTCGGGTGGGAGTCGACGTGGGGCTTGTGGAGGGTTGCCGCGTGGACGATGTGTGTTATGGACGAGTTGTCTGCGAGGATGGAGGCTATGAGGGCGCGGTCTGTGATGGAGCCGAGTGTTGTTGTCGTTGGGGAGGGGAGGATGTCGATGCCGTGGGGGACGTGGCCTAGGGACGGGAGGGAGAGCATTAGGGCTGCGCCGAGGTGGCCGGCGGAGCCTGTTACGAGGACGGTGTAGGGTGAGGCCATTGCTTTTAGGATGTCCAGAGGTTTTGGGTGAGTTTTGGGATTCAATGGGTGATGGTTTCGTGAGGTTTTGTTGATGTGGTGGATGAAGGTATTTGAAGTCTCAGTGTTAGTCGTAGTGGAGGTGAGTCATTGGTCCCTCGTTGATTCTACGCCAAGCGGGAGGGGCGCACGACTAGCTGTTAGGGACATCTCAGTTGGCCACCCAAGACTATGCATTGACTGATTGATCCCTGCGATTCTAGGCGATTGATGTCTGCAATTGTGTCTGAATGCTGTCTATTCAACTCGTCGTAGGTATGAAGATGTCAATTGGCGATGTACATCTTAAGGTCGTAATTGATGTTGTCCTTGGAGCATACCAACCACCCCAATATTACTTATCAATTTCCATTGACCCAAGAATAGAAATGTTACTGTTCCAATCCACTGTGAGTAATCAAACATGAGTTTGGAATTAACATCACGCCAACTCCCCTTCGATAATACGGTCAGTCGAGGAACATGCTCTCGGGAAATCCTGTGAAGTCTCTTGCGACGACTTGCCAATATAATCGATGTAAGATTAGGCCGAGATCCAATCGATACATTAGTTACTGCCCACACAGAACACACATAACGGGCAGTGAAGTGACTCATTCCAAGAACGCATCCTCGACATCACCCGCCTCCAGCCGTCGCACCCTCACCTTCAAACCCCCCTTGGGCCTCAGAACAGGACTAGGATTAACAAACTCGATATCCTCAGGATCCACCGCGGCCTCAAACTTGAAATTACTCAAAATTGCCATGAAGAGCACCTTGATCTCGATCAGCGCGAACGCCTTTCCGATACACTGCCTTGGCCCGGCCAAAAACGTCGCAAAGGCGAGCGGGTTGCTCGCGGGCGTCCGCTCGAGCCGGTCCCAGCGGTCCGGGTCAAAGACATCCACGTCCTCGCCCCAGATGCGTTTGTTCCGTGTGACGAGGGCTGGGAACATGTAGAGCGGGGTGCCCTTGGGGATAAAAGTGCCGCCGACGGTGACGTCTTCGACAGGTTCGCGGGCGGCGAGGACGCCCGGTGCGTAGAAGCGGAGGATCTCGCGCGTGAGGTTGTCGATGAAGGGCAGACCCTCTTCGAGATCGAGATAGTCCGGCGTCGGGTTCTTCTTGAGGAGACGCAAAACTTCGGCCCTGGCGCGCGTTTGAATGTGCGGGTAGAGCGTGAAGATGTGCGTGCCCCAGGTGAGCGTCGTGGCGGAGGTCTCGTGGCCTGCAACCATCATGTTGAGGCAGTTTTCGAGGATTTCGTCTTCGGACCAGGGTTCGTTGATGGACCTGGATTCGAGGATCATGTGCGTTAGGAGATCGGGTCTGTCGCGGGTCTTTTCCGCGCCTTTACCATCACCACCGCTGCCACCCGGGACCTCGTCGATTTCCGCGAAGCGCTCACGAATGACTTCTCTTATGCGCGAGCGGACGCCGCCGCTGCAGGCGTTGAAGACGCGGTTCTCTTCGAAAGGGAGCGAGCGGGTTCCTGGAACGTAGGCGTTCATGACCATGAGGATGCCGCCGAAGAGGGACGGATCGAACATCCGGTGGTAGGCTTGGTGGAAGAAGGAGTGGGTTAGGGTTGCTTGGAGGTCGATGCCGAGGGTCCACCATGCTATGATGTCGACTGTGACGCGGCTGAAGGCTTGGGACACTGTTTTTACGTGAACAGGCTAGATTAGCAAGAGGAATGTCGAGGCGAGACTTGGTACCAGCCGACCGAGTCAGACTTCTTGAGGCCAGACTTACTGTCTACGGTGCCCTCTTGAGACTTAATCTCCTTATCAAAGAGTTGAACGAGCTCCTTTGCTTTGCTTTGGAAGAGTGGGATCGCCTTCTTGACCTTGGTGAGAGAAAACGAGGCTGCAAGATTGTAGTTAGTTATGGATGAGTTCATAAACAGTAGCACAAGGTCCGTGTGATGAAGTGCTGAGGGACAACTTACGCGATAGTAACTTTCTCTGGGCCTTGTGCAAGTCTCCTTCAGCAAACACCATCCCAGTCCCCGTCACTTGCACAATGATGCGGGTATTAAACTGCGCCTTGATAAACGAATAGCTCTTTGTCTGAAAGACCTCTTTGAAGACTTCTAGGTCATTGATGATGAGGCAGTCTGAGTTGCCGAAGCCGGTGAACTTGATAAGCGGCTCGTTTGGCCATTGTCGCGTCCATGAGAGATACGGCTCAATGGGGTTCCCTGACCTGGCCTGATTTATGAGGTCGCCGACAAGGAAGTGGTGGTCCTGGTCACATGCGTTAGAAATAATGTAATTCGTCTCAAAACAGGTTGTGTCGTTGTTCCTACCTTTGGTCCTGGGAGGTGGCTGAGAGGAGAGAAGAAGTACGGGTAGATGAAGAGGTAGTACACTGCCCTGATAACGTGCCGCGCCACGAGCAGAGCGATCAGGTACCGAGCGGCGGTCTGCAATGAAGACTCATGTAAAGTCGTCAGGAAAGACAGAGCACCCAGAGCAAGAAGCTCATGGTACCAAGTCGGTTTCAAAGACTCCATCGTGACTCGAGATCTAGCAAGTCAGTTGCCGGACTGTTCGGATGGATGAGGTGCCACAGAGGTAGGAAAGGATATTAGGGCAACAAATGTAACATCACGCAAAGATGTGGAGAATCGTGTCATTGATAAGAAATCGGAAAGATACATCAATTCTTCATTGACCATGGGCACAGAAAGAAACCCTGCTGCTTGTGCCGCAACTGCTTCTGGAACTAGGTTAGTTCCAACAACCCGGAAAACACACAAAACACGTCCAACAGACGGCGATTTCCCCCACACTGTGTGCCCTACCATTTAAGAGTTAAAGCAGAAACAAAATACGCCCCGCCAATGAGGTTCTTAGTCTACAGGTTTCAATGTTCGGAGTTATCGTTCTCTTTTACTAGTATCTTGCAAATGATTACTGAGCCTGATTAGGAGCTAACCTTGTGAGTTATACCAGGTGACACAGAACGCTGGAAACGTCTCGTGGGAACGCCCACCCATGCAACATCCTTGCTCAAGTACTGAGCTATGGACGAAATAGGAAAATGCTTTTCGATTTGCGGAATTTATCCACAGCGGGCTCTTGTTTGTTGTGTTCAACGCCAACATTGTGGCAACGAATCGGACAGCATCAGTTTGTCAGAGACCACCTCACGATCGGGGCACCTAGTGTAGGGTCTTTCTCAATTTACGGCCTTTACGCGCTATGAAAGCACTCTGAAAGAAGATGACTTATGTGCTGACCAACAGACCATTCCATCAACTAGTAGAGAGGCTCTTAGCAGCTAAATGTTGATATATGGCACTCTAATAGCTCGTATCATATTGTGAGAAATGAGGTGCCAAGGTTGGCTTGGGCCTTTCGATCTCAATGATGTGGTACAGCAGTCGAGGAGGATGGAGACGGCATTTCACCGACCACCCTCAAGAGGTCCCACAACGATGAGAGGGGAAAAGCATTACCTCTTCAATACGAACATGGTCTTTCTCTAAGCTTTTTGACCAGGAACGCTATGAACCAGCATGAGGCCGAGAAGGGAAACTGGAGACACTAGTCAGCATGATGGTATAGGGCAGACATGCCCTTTGAATGGCTCAAAATTGCAGTGAGGCTTTTGCCACATACCTTACTTTAGCGGCGAGTGCACGCAGTTTGAGTAATCTGGGGAACTAACCAAAAACCTCATCGGACGATTGATGGTGCCCTTCGCATGAGTTCAAAGTGCAGTGCTCATGCAAAGTCTTGTTTCGAAATATAGAGCGCTCGTCCACTCTACCTATTGTTGGTCAACGGCTCTGTGTTGCGTGGAAAATTCGCGATTAAAGTATTTAAGCTATCAGCTACCCTCCAACGTCGACAACTACATGGATTACTACCTAGGTACTAGCACGATAACTCAGGCTTATGCTCACTTACAAAGTACTTCCCATGAACGGAAACACCATTCTCTCTCCTCTCTCAGTTACAGCCTTCAAATATGCAACAATCAACTCCTCAATGCCCTCTCTCCTCGCGCCCTCAATCCACTGATCCATGTCCAGCTCAAGGAACTCTCCGCCATATGATTTCTCCATGTAAGCCTTGAATTCCGTTGGCGGTACCCGGACACCACTCGAATAATGCCTGAACAAAACCCCTCCTGCCTGGCTATTATCACGATATGGGCTTAACGAGGTAGGATCTCGTAGACTGACGACAGCAGTTGCGATCTCACCCGCCACGTCCTCGACCCGCTCGAAATCAAAGTATCCCTCAACATTCAACCCCTCAATCCGCGGCACGGCGCCCATGAGCTTTGAGAACCGTAGCAGCGCGTTGAGCGCGTCTTCGAGGGGCGCTTTGTCGCCTACGACAGCACAGGGCCGATGAATTGTGACGGGTAGTAGACCCCTCTCATTCTTCTCCGTCACTGCTGCTGCGGATAACTTCTCCAAAAACACCTCGCTCGCCCATTTCGCAGCTGTGAAACCCTCCCCTCCATCCGCCCTCGGCGAATGACGACTAACGCTTACAGGCGGCATCGCAGCCTCTGCGACGGGATCAAGTAGTGTGACCCGATTCGAAGAGATAAAGTGAAGCGGTATCCGCCGCGGAAGGGCGAACAAGCCCATCACTTTCGTGGAATCAACATTGGGTATGCGGAGGGTAGCGTAGTTGTTTAAACAGTGGCCCTGAGCACCTGCGAGGACAACCGCATCGACTGTGTTTTGGAGGCGGGTGTAGGTCTCTGGTGACATGCCGAGTCGGGGTTCGAGAAGGCTTCCAGTATGAATTGTGATTTTGTCATGCTGGGGGTGTGATGGCATCTTGGTATCGGCCTCAATTGCGATGCAGTGGACCCTCGCTACTTTTGGGCTCTTTAACAAGGATGAGAGGATTGCGCTGCCGAGGAAACCTGTTGATCCCGTCATGAGAATCTCCATTGCAACTGCATTCCTCGGTGTATCTCCACGAATCCCAAGGTCGAGAGGGCTAAGAAGAGCCGTCTCAGCTTCCCAATCAATCGATTCCGGCACATGATTTTCGCTCTTCCGCCGGAAGAGTAAGGTAGTCATTTCACCAAGCGTGCTGGAGTGGTACATGTCTTTGAGCGAAACCTGTATACCCATGGATGTGCGGATTGCACTCTGCAGCATCACTAGAAGGAGCGATGTGCCCCCGATCAAGAAGAAATCCGAGTCTGATGTCAGAGGCTCGCCGTTGATCAACTGTGAGGACGTCTGGTGAAGGACGGAATTCCAAAGAAGACGGAGCTCTCCCTCGGCGAGACTCATTTCTTTGGCGCCCTGCGGTGATGCCGGTTGTGCTGCTGGCGGGCGCGCGATGGGTAATAGGGCGATGACGAGGCGATCGACTTTCCCATTTCTGCTGACGGGAATGCGGTCCAGAGGGATGATCAGTGAGGGCTTCATGTAGCTAGGAAGCGGAAGCGTGCTAGCAAAGGTCTGAAGGTCGGCCTCGACCACGACTGAGTGTTTGGAGAGGACGACATGAGCGACGAGGAAAGCAGGATCCCCGCGAACGGTGACGACTGCATCTGCAATTTCTCCCTTGGACTCTTTAACAATGACATTGGAGACGTCTTCAAGGTCCACACGCAGCCCGCGAATCTTGATCGTAGTGTCGCCATCCATGCGACCCATGAAGTACAAAGACCCATCGAAGCGTAGGGTGCCTTTGTCGCCTGTCTTGTACATTGTGGTCCATCCCATTGAAGCGTCCCGTGGGGAAGCAAATGGGTTCTCTGTGAACTTCTCTTTTGACAGATCTGAGTCGAGATAGCCTTGGGACACGCCTACACCGCCAACACAGATCTCCCCCGGGATGCCAGACGGCACAACAATGCCGTCCTCATCGATGATGAGAATTGAGGTGTTTGGATTCGTTAAGCCAACGGAGCCAGAAACGACGGCTTCTTCTTCGTCAAGATCTACTGTTCGCATCGTTGCGCAGCACGAAATCTCCGTTGGGCCATAGCAGTCTGTCACTGTGGGTACATGCTCCAGCCTTCGAAACGTATCTCTTAAATGGCCATTGACAGCCTCTCCGCCGGTGCAAGCATGTCTCCAGCTAGTCTGCCTCTCAATGCCCTCGCGACCATGTCGAATGAGCATGAGATATTCCGTAGGCGTGCCAAGCGTGAACGTGACGCCTTCGTCAACCATGATCTTCGTGAGGGCGACGGGATCTCCACGGCTTTCTTGCGGGACGATAACAAGAGTGCCGCCATTAGTCAGCGCATTGAACGCCTGCGCGATGGACATGTCGAAGCCGAGCGAGCTCTGCTGTAGAACGACTTCGCGGTCGAGATGGAGCTTTGAGGCTTTGGTTGCTGCGTAGTTGATGATGCCAGCGGACGTGAGCTCGATGCCCTTGGGAGTCCCTGTGGATCCGGACGTGAAAAGGATAAACGTCGCTGAGCCCGGCTGTTCCAAATTTGGGACATTTTTGACGTCAGAATTGTCAGAAACGTCGATGATGGAGATGTTGCTGGAAAGATCGTCTGCCCTTTGCCGCGTTAACGCGTGGCAAATGATCAAATCTGGTTTCGAGGCTTCGAGAATTGCAGCTAGACGCTCGCTGGGCAACTTGGTATCGAGGGGCAGATAAACAGCACCAGCACGAAGAATCGCGAGCATAGCAACAACCCAGTCGACCGTGGGATCGCACAAGACTGCAATTCGTGACCCGAGCTGCGTCTTACCCGAGAGTATGGCGGCCAGACCAGCCACCTTGCCAGCCAATTGTGAGTACGTCAGCGCTGTGGCCGTATCCTTGAGAGCAACTTCGTCTCCGTGACTGCTGAAAATCCGATCAAGTCTTTCAGTCAAGGTATCTGGCCATCCGAAGTCAATATCCTCGCCCCGTCCAATGGCGATCGCCCGATCGACATCACGAGGATCATAGAGCTGGCACTCCGGAAGCGTCTTGGATGTAACCTTAGCCGCATCATCGAGCAGCGTCACATACATGTCGAGGAGCAGGTCTGTCGCAGCTTGGTCGTACAAGTCGTCTCGGCCCACGATCTGAAGGTAACATGCGTCTTCCGTCGGCGTGACGCTAAAGGCGAGATCGTAAGGGCTCTTGGCATCGAACCCCTCTTTGACAGTCAGGCTGCACCCGCCCAAGGGGATGCTCGAAAAGCTGCCTTGGCGATAGTTCATGGCGACCTGGAACAGGGGCGTGTGCGTCATGTCCCGCGTGATATTCGCCTTGTCTAAAATCACATCAAAGGGTACGCCCGAGTTGGCTTGCGCGGCATAATATCGCTGACTCGTCTTCTTGACGAGGTCGCCAAATTTCTCGGCCTTTTCAACCTGGAAGCGAATCGGTAGGAGGTTGAGAAAGAAGCCGATTACTTGAGAGCTTTCAGGCGTACGATTCGCGTCCGTGATGCCAATGCAAATGTCTTCTACGCCGAGTAGTCGATGCAGGAGAGTCTGCATCCCGGCGAGATAGAAGTGGAAGGGCGTTACGCTGAGACCTCGGCTGGCCCGCTTGATTCTCTCCGAGA